GTGTCAACATGAACTTGGCCATGAGCATTGATTCATTTGCATGCCTAACAATCCAAATAGGAAGATTACACTTGAATAGATGTAGCTCACTGCCGGCAGTTTCTATCTTCGTCGTCTATGCACCATCCAAGTACGATGAAGAAGAAATTGAGAAATTCTACATGGAACTGGAGCAGTTCTATAAAGAAGACCACACCTTCTACAAGATCATTGTCGGTGATTTTAATGCCAAGATAGGACCGAGAAGGTCACCCGAAGAACTCCACATCGGGACCTGTGACCTAGAATGGATTGAACAGGGTAAGAGACTGTCTGAGTTCATCATGTTGACCAAGACCATCCATGGTAACGCACAGTTTCAGAAGGCCAAATCTAAACTTTGGACATGGAAGTCTCTCGGTGGATGGTTCCACAATGAAATTGACCACTTCATATTCAATCAATGGTTTTGCCTGAGCAATGTTGCTGTTGTCCCAAAATTCCAAATGGGATCAGACCACCATCTTTTTCATGCAAAATTTTACTTCACAAAGCGGGGAGAAAGGGCTGCAAAGTTTAAAAAGATAACTCTCAGAAAGACCACCAACTGGAAGCTCTTTGGCACTATTGTGGCAATGTGGGAAGATGCCGTCGTTGACATTAACAAAGGATACAATCGACTGGTTCAGCACCTCTTTGATTGTGTGAGGAACGCCGAGAGAGGAAAAGCCACAAAAAGACACTGTCTTCAGAAACTCATTCGCCAACGTGGCTTGGTGTAAGCCTCAGGCAACTGCAAGGGAACATCTGAACTTGCAAAGTAGTGCAGAGAAGTGATAAAGGAAGACCTCAAAGAGAGAAGAGCAGCAGTGCTGGCCGATGTGGCAGAAGCTCAAAAAAGTATTTGCAACACCTGCCTGTCCTTCACCAACTACAAGAACAAGATGACTGCCCTCCGACATACTGATGGATCTATCACATCTTCCAGAAGGGCAATGGAGAAGATTATCCATGTCTTCTACTCAAATCTCTTCGAAAGCCACGTCCACCTGCCCACATACCAAATTCTGCAGGATGGATATGTCCTTCCTAACGTTCTCCCTTCTGAAGTATGACACGACCATATCCTCACGGTAACCAAGCTCATTGAGATCTTTCGGGAGTTCAAGATGCTGCTCTTTCTAACATTCATTGATTTAAAGAAGACCCCTGATTCTGCTGAGACTGTAGCGGTCATTGAAGCCCTAGCCAAACAGGGCGTTCAAACTCAGTACATTAGGTTCCTCCTCGAGCTCTATTACAGATTCACCACCAGCATCTCACCATTCTACAAGGAAGTGATCATTAACGTAAAGAGTGGGGTTCAACAGCGTGATACCATTTCACCAAAACTCTTTAGTGCCACCCTCGAGATGTCATGCAATGTCTGAACAGGCAAAAATGGGAGTGAAGATAGACTACAGTTGTTACCGACTGGATTCCATAGGACATCAGAAGGACATGTGGCTGCCCACCTATGAGATGGTCAGGCTTCTTCAAAACCCTGAATAAATGGTTTGAGTCTCTTTGTGTTCCTGGAGCAAGCAGATGCCATTGGGCTACATTATCACGCAAAAGGGATGAATGGAGACATTACTCAAGTAAATTGAAGATCAACGGGGTGACAAGTGATACAAGTGATACAGTTTTATACTTCTATTTATTTTGGGATTTTTATACATTTTATTTTCTTACGTTAGTTCACATTAGTTCATTACAGATAATATTCAAACACGTACTCAATCAGCAAGCATCTTCCAACCACAATAAGAGGGAAGTGTGTGAAGGTTGTTGTATTTCATTCTGGGGTCATTTACACCCGTGTATACAAGAATACAAGCAAGTATGTTAAAACCAAACACACGTGTGCTACTTTAGGTACATCAGTGGACTAGAGTGTAGAGTGAATGCGGCCATGCACTCCATGAAATACTGCATAGCTCTCTTCCGGGAGCTTTATTTTGTAGTCTCTGGATCTTGGCCATTGATAATATTACATGGCACGGGGAAGGGGGCGGGGGGGTGCAGTTTTTGAGTGTGACTGCCAAGCTACTGGAAAACTAGGGTGGAGGAGATCCAGTCCCATTCCGAGCAGGCTTGGAGATCTCAGCCATGGGTCCCGCATACCTGGGTCCTCTGTTGGTTCCTTCATTGGTGAGACTCCACCAAGCATGTGGAGAGCAGCCTTGAGCATGGCTGTGGGAAGGATCTGGAGGTTTTCGGCTGCTGGGACTCTGCTTAGGGTGGGGAGGGAAACTCAACCCGCCCCCCTCTGAGGGGCCCTGGTGAAGACAGCCTGGCTCTGGGGCAAATTCTGCAGGGCTGGCTTTCTTAGCACAAATATTTCTAGCTCTTTTTTGTCTGAGAATGTTTTTATCTCTCCCATCCATTTGAATGAAAGCTTTGCAGATTAGTTGGACTCTAGGTTGAAAGTTTTTTTTTTTTAATTTTGTAATTTGAATATGTTATTCTGATGTAGACAGGTAGATTAGGTTAGAGTCTCATAGCAGTGGAATTCCTGTAGAGTTGTAAAACCACCTAGCCCTAAGGCCCTCAGCATCCACCCTGTGGCTGTAGCAACTAAGACATGATAAGACCCTTACCTGGAGCTTTCCCAGACCAGAGAAGGTGGGGGCAGAGTGTCCAGCTGGAACAAAGGTCTAGAAAAGGAGTTTTCAAAGAAGACCATACCAACTCTACCCTCCTATGAGGTTCTTCCCTAATCTACCCGCCTTGACAACCACCCTAGCAAAGGACTTTTATCTAGGTAGAAAGTCTCTTAAGGGGCACCTTGGAGAAACCCTATAAAAGCCAATTTGAACAAAGGAAGTGCGCACATATGTTGCCAGAGCCCATGTACTGCTTGTGTCCAAGTGACTAAGAACATATGGTGCCGGAGTACATGTGCCGCCCACATCTCCCCTCTTGAGTTGTATACTGGGGCTCTCTGCCTTTGGAGAAGCCCGCATTCTCTCTTGAGCACATTACTCTCACTTTCTCTCCCTCCTTCCCCTTCTTTGAAGCCTCCAAATAAAAAATGTTTTTACTTCACTATCCATGAATCTGGGGGTTAGTAGCCACTTTTCAATTCTTTAATTTAGGTGTTTCAGGTTTGGAGTAGGAGTAAGAAGTACTCCTGATGAAAGGGATCCCAGTGATAGCCTTGGGCTTTGTTCAAACAGGTGCTTTGCCTTACACAAAGGCCAGTTCCAAAGAGGAATCTCTTTTGAGGAGATGACTAGTGGAGCTCTTTCAGATATAAACAAGTTCTGACAGTGACACCCAGGAATCACAGCTTAATTTGTCAGTTTTACCTTGCAGAAGCTTAGTGCTAACAGCCAAAACAGGTTACCTCTATCATTCTCTGCAGTAGGCTGGTAGGGTATTTCCCCCTTTTGTTCAGATTCCTTTTTGTTCCTGGGTGTCTGGTATATGTAACTATGTGTTCCTGGAGGACTGAGGTCCATCTCCAGTGTCACAATGCTTTCTAGACAGAACACATGTATTACCCTTAGCTTGCAGTCCCCAGCTTTATCAGATTCCCTTGTGTAGGCATGAGCCCTTCTAATACGGTCTGGGCATAGTCTCAGGAGGAAGACTGTGAATCACAGCCTTTTTCCCCTTTCTTGAAGTTCTGGTTTCCAGTGGCATACCTGGCAGGGTTTTTTTTTTTAATTACAGTTATTCTTACACTCTCTGATATATATGAAAGGTCTCAAAGAAATGTCACCAGCCACCTCTGCCTGTGAAAATAGTGCCCTTCAAGTCATCGATTTAGTTATCATTTCAGGATGTATAGTTTCATAAATCTGTTTGCTGAAAATGTGGGGAGGAGGTAAATCTGTCATCTTTACTTGTCACCTTCTTGTGGTCTCTTTGTATTTGGAAGAGAAGTGTTTTATCAGTATATCTTTTATAAGTATTTCAAACTGCTTGTGGTTTCTTATTCTCTTAAAATTTTCCTTTATAGAACAGTTCTAATTGAGCTTATCATTTTTATTCATTATTTAGTATCTAAAAAAATCATTTGTATCCAAAAGGCACCATCATATCCTTGGTCATGAATTATTTTCATGATGCCTTTTTGACAGCATGATCGATTTTCATAGTTTTGCTCTTATATTCAGGTTATATCGTCCATTTTAGGCTCATTTTTATCACAGTACGATGGCATGTGTCTAAATTCCTTTTTAAAAATCTTTTTCTAATTTGTGTTTTTATTTTGAACCACAACCAGCAGTGCTTAGGGCTTTTACTGGCTTTGCAACACACAATCACTCCTGGTGAGGCTCGAGGGATTATATGGGTAATTGGTGATCAAATCTGGGTCATGCACAAGGCAACCACCTTACTCACTGTACCATCACTCTGGCCCTAAATTTCATTTTTGTGTATGTGAGGGTCACATTAGATTCTTGTTTGTATGGATGTTTAATTGCTATAGCATTATGTTGAAACTATCATTGATTCACTGTAAACTTAAAAGGGAAATCTACATCAATAAAAATCTGGGATGAAAATTAGATTTTAAGAGTAATATACTTTAGCTCCGATTGATCTCACATGGATTTGACTGAGGTGTTTCTTTTTAATGTCAGAACTTTTAGTCTCTTAACATTTAATGTGGACACTGGCTTCCAATAATAGTGTGAAAGAATATTTTAAGTCTTTATTAATTCTTATTTTTGTTTCATTTCTTGTGTGTGTGTGGATTTTGGACCACACCTGGAAGTACTTAGGGCTACTCCTAATATGATGCGCTGGGGTACATTTAAGTAATTTGTAGTAATACTATGTAATATTAATTCATAATAAAGGTATAGTAATACTGATTATAATTGCTAGTAAAAATAAGAATTTCAACAGTTTTTAGAAAAGTTAGTAAGCAAGTTGTGATTTTAGATTTCCAATGGTAATTGTTCTTTTAAGATGTAAAGGTCTCATTATTGCATGTGCCTTTATGTTTTGCTTCTTTTTTTTAGGTCACTTTTATTCAAAATCTTGTATTTTGTGTTGAAAGAGTTTACCGTGTCCCTGACTTTGGTGTCTGGGAAAGAGGAAGCAAATATAATAATGGTAGCACAGAGCTGCATTCAAGGTAATTTACTGATTTCTGAGTTTTTCTTAATTTAAATGTTTGAAGTTTGAATATGAATAAAAATAAGTATTAAATTAGAACTGTGGGTCCTATGTTAATTTTCAGCTTTTAAAATATATGATGGAGTTGAAATTCACTTAAATCAAAAGCGATATTTTATTTTTTTTCATACCCTTATATTGGACTGAAGCGATAGCACAGCAGTAGGGCATTTGCCTTGCATATGGCTGACCCGACCGACCCAGGTTCAATTCCTCCACTCCTCTCGGAGAACCCAGCAAGCTACTGAGAGTAACTCGCCTGCACGGCAGAGCCTGGCAAGCTACCCGTGACGTATTTTATATGCCAAACACAGTAATAAGTCTCACAATGGAGACTTTACGGGGCCCTCTTGAGCAAATCGATGAACAACAGGAGGACAGTGACAGTGACCCTTATATTGGTAAAGAAAAGAAGTAGACTTTATTTTCCAAGTACAGTTATATTTAATCTTCAGGCTTTGGCATTCCTTTTCAACCTATTCATTTTCTTTTTCTCCATTCTAATGGTATAATTTGAAAGACCAGTCAAGTACATTAAATTTATAAATACAAATCCTGTATGTGTTGTATGTAAAATTTCTATACTAAAAAGCTATTTTTTATTCTAACTACAGATTCTCATGTTCTCGTATAATAGGAAGAGGTACATATACCTTTCATGTAAAGTGTTTTCTGTAGGAGTGATCGTCTTCTTGATCTGTGTTTTTGATTTAAATAAACAATAAGCTGATAACTGGTGGTCTGAGCATATGAATTTCATTTTGCATGGTAAGATTAGAGAAATGCCTCTAATAACTGTTTATACCATTTAATATCTTATTTTTATGGTGGGGGCAGCTTTTAACATAGTCTATCTCATTTCATGCTAAAATATTTAAAAATTTGGCGGTTACTATTTTTAGGTCAGTTTGTATCATTCACATTTAACTGAAAAAGTGAGAAACAGTTTAGGAAAAACTAGTTAAGAAAAATCTGCAGCTATGTACTGTTTAGGATAAAATTGTTAATCACATACAAAAACTTAAGCTGATAAGATACCTAGCAAATTGCAGACTGGCTTCAGATGAAAATAGCTCTTTGCCTCAATGCTAGTCTCTATGTCTCTATTCATCTACACCTTTGTTACCAAGTCTATGAAATGTCTACTAGACATAAAATACTATGTCTATAAAATGAAGATAGTAATAGTTTCTACTTTATAGAGTTGCTACAATTATTCAGTGAATATACAATATTTGAAGCTTTTGGTTACCTTGAATAGTGTTTGAAAATAAATAGATTCTTACATGAGTATTTTAATACAGCGATTAAAAGAAAAACATTTTAATTACTTTTTAAAATGTTGGCAAAAGCCACAACTGTTTATACAGTTCTAGAGTTGAAATTCATTAGATAAGAAAGTTCCAATATTAAAAATGAGAAGTGTAGAAATTATTTTTTAAATGTAAAAATTGTTATATTTTACCACAGGGTTAAGTCCTTGTCTAAGGATTTACTAAGCTGTTTGCTGCTGGTTGAGGCTTCATTGTTATTGTTTTTGTTAATTTTAGTTGGCTTCTATGTTATGTTTCTGTCTAATTTGGTGTGCTCCAACTGAAATTTCAGTATTTGGAATTTGGAGGTGTTGCCAGACTGAAACATTTCAGGTACCTAGCTGTTCAAGCTGAGAACTCTGGGGCCTTCTCAGAATGGAGGTGGGCAGTCACCCCAGCAGCCACGCCCACCTCCCACAGCCATCTTCATGTTGACACCCACCAGTCCTGCTCTATCCATTCATTCATCACCACATCTCCAAAGTGATGGTAAATCTCCAAGCGGCTAAAATTCATGGACTTATTGGTTTTCCCATGACTGAATACTCTGGAGCACTCTCAGGAGGAGGGCAGGCTGAGTCCATGCCTTACCAAAGCCCAAGCAACCACACCACATTCCCCACCACTGCTGCCACACCAAGTGTTCAATTCCACCACTTTACTAACACTCTCTGCAGAGACATCAAACTGAAAAATTTCAGTTACCCTAGTGTCCATAGTGAGGACTCTGAGGTCTTCTTGGAGTTAGGAAGGACAACCTCCTCTATCCCTCTGTATTTTCAGAATCTCTGGCAGCCACACCCACCTCTCCCAGCATCCTCTAGATCATTTTATTGGTCCAAACCATAGATCCTGAAGTCTCTAGATCACAGGGCCACATATCCAGACACACTAACACCCCAAATTCCTCAATATTGAAATAAAAAAATATTTTTGATAGTTATTTTAAACCAGTGGTAAATCAGTAAGTTTTAAATCAGAAATTCCAAATGCTTAAAAAAGGTTTTTCTAATTAGCCTCAGTTAATATACACTTTTTTTAAGTTTCCTGATTCACATTGGGCAGTTTAAAATGTAGTATAGTGTTGCAGAGTTAGTACAGCAGGAAAGGCACTTGCCTTGCACGCAGTTGACCTGGGTTCAATCCCTGACATCCCATATGGTCACTGAGCATTGTGAGGAGTGATTTTTAAGTGCAAAACCAGGAGTAACCTCTGAAAACAGCCATGTATGGCTCAAAAAATAAATAAAATATAGAGCAGAATCATAGTGTTAACTAAATAAAATGATTTTGACATAGACAAAAGGAACTTTAATTTTCCGGAGTTTTAAATTTGGGCTGTCTAGAGCAAGAGACAAACAGACTTATGGACAGTGGCTTCCCAACAAATCCCTAATACAATTTTAGTTTTATATCATTTTAGCAAGTGGTCTATTTTCAACAGAGGAAACATTTACATTTGAAGTAATAGGGGCTAGAGTGATAGTATTGCAGGAAGGTACTGTACTTTCATTACACACAGCTTACCCAAGTACCATATCTGGTCCCCCAAGCACATCCAGAAGTGATTTGGTCCCCTGTATTCCATATGATCCCTTAAGCCTCACCAGAAGTGATCCCTGAGCACAGAGCCAGGAGTAAGCCCTGAGCAAGGAGCTAGGTATGGCCCTAAAACAAAAATATTGAATTAATAGGAATAAATGGAGCGATAGCACAGCCGGTAGGGCGTTCGCCTTACAAGCGGCCAACATGGCCGACCCGAGTTCGATTCCTCCGCCCCTCTCAGAGAGCCCCGGCAAGCTACCGAGAGTATTCGATATGCCAGACACAGTAACAACAAAGTCTCCAATGGAGACGTTACTGGGCCCGCTCGAGCAAATCGACGATCAACGGGAGGGCCTTTACCTTTACCTTACTTTTTTAGATGAGTCCACGACAATTTCCAACATTCTGGCTGAACAAGAACAACAAAATAACTTATTAATTGAAAGTGACACCTGAAAAACGAAATTCAAAAGATATAATTATAATAAGCCACCAAAAATGAATAAAAGATAATTCATCCTGGATAGACCACAATAGAGATAAATCTGTAGGAGCCTGGGGTTGATGGGAGTAAACGGAGTCAAATGGCACTAATCAGTGATGATTTAAAAAGTCATAGATTCCAGAAAATGCTGATGTTTTGTTTGGTAGTTTAAAGACAAAAGTAAACATAGACAAACATTTCCATGCAAAATTGTTTAGACTTTGTAGTCTGAGGGAGGAAAAATTCTAGATGAAAGGAAATGCAATCCTAGAGTTAAAAATTCGTTATCCATGAGATACGTTATATAGAGGATGCTGCTAGGTCCAATCTCAGTCTCCTATTGCTAATATTCAGCCTAATCCTCATACTAGATGGTCTTACCAAAAAGATGAAATATTAAGATGGGTTTGGCTGTTGCACAGCTTTTAGTGTCAGGAACGGGGACTGGAGGGAGAGAGAGGGTGGGAGCAACAGAAGTAATAGAAAAGAAAGGGAAAACAGGCAAAGAACAGAAAAGGAAAAAGAAAAAGAATGATGGGATTTATTTCTCTTTAGAGCTGACTAGAAGAGCCTCTGTAAAACTTCACATTCAGTCAATTTCATTCTGTAGTAGCAATCAAGTTAATGAAGTGGCAAAGTAATTTTTAGGGAAGAATTGTTCAGACAGTAAGCAAATTCTGAAAAATGCAAAAAATAGAAAGGCAATGTTGTAATTGGCAGTCATTTAAATTAAGTTATCATGCCATTACCAATGCAATCCTGGACACCACAGAATGTGCCCCAGGGCCACCAGAAGCTCTTCCTCTTTTCCAGGCTGATGACTAGACATGTCTCAAGCCCCACTCCCCTGGAAGCACATCTCTTCCCTTCTCTACAACCCACAATGAGCATAAAATGGACTCTGAAAGTAAACTCATAGTCATTGTAGAGTACTTCACTACACAGAAATGACTCCACTTTAGTATATGCTGACTGTGGCTTCCCCATAGATCTTTCTGGTAGCAGGGCAAGGGTAGTAAAGCAGAGAACTCATCCCCAGACTGCAACGGGAACAATGGGAAGCAAGGTAGCACCTTACCAAGTTTATTGAATGACGACAGTAGCCCAGAAGACACTTCTGTTACTAATCAGATATATATATATATATATATATATATATATATATATAATCTATCAGGTCAGAGATTACATGCTGAGGATGTTTAATGAACTGAAAAAAAAATCTGTGGTAGTAAGTACTTAATAAGTCAGAAGAAACCACGAGAGAAAAATTGAGCAGAAATGAGAAAATTGTACTCAGATGTGACAACTGAAGAAAAACTCTTGTAAGTAAAATTTAACACACACACACACACACACACACACACACACACACACACACACACCCCGAAACGTCCGACATCAGCTTAGGATAAAATCAGAGTGCTTCAACATGAGCTACAAGAAACCTCAAAAAAGACAATGTTTATGAGAAACGGTCTCATTCCTCACATTCCATTCACTCTCAACAGAACAAACATCTCCAAATGCAACAGTTATGTGTATCTAGGTCGAGAAGTTAACATGACAAATGACCTGGCACCTGAGTTGTGCAGGAGGAAGAGAGCAGCTTGGAAT